TCCTCTCGTAGGTAAGAGCTTTCCCTCCCATAGCCCAGGCTACCAGCCATGCAGTGCTCGGTGACCCCTTCACATGTGCGAGCCAGCAGCAGCCTTCTAGCTGACTGAGCCTGCTGTCTGTGCCCTGCTCCAGGTCCCCTGAAGCGTCCCCCAAGCTCTCCTAAAAATGAGTATCTGATCATGCTTTCCCTAGCCCAACTTCTCTGTAAGCCTAGCCTGGGAGTTTTTTGTTGTTGGTGGTGGTTTTTTTTTTTTTTTTTTTTTTTTTTTGTCTTTTTCATTTTTATCAGTACCAGGGATCGAACTCACAACCGCCTGCTTGCAAGGCAGGTGCTTACGCCGCTAAGCTAAATCCCCAGCCCCCTGGGAGTTAAGTGCTTCATCCTAGTGAGGCAGACAGGCCCCCAGGACCTGTTTTTTGTTTTGTTTTGTGAGACATGAGGATATATTAGAGCTTAGATGAGGGACACACTCAAGCTCAGAGTGTACTCAGAGAATTGAGGTACATGGAACCCTTGAGAAGCCCATTTAATAATTAGAGGTGGACATAGGACCCTTTGGGTCTAATCTCATGAGTCACAAAATACCCTTAAGAGCCCAAACCCGATCTAAATCATGTTTTTGGTTTTAATTTTGATTTTTTTTTTTGTTTTTTGTTTTTGTTTTTTGTTTTTGAGATAGAGTCTTGCCATGTAGTTCAGCCTGGCCCAGAACTCATGGCAATCCTCCTGCCTCAGTCTCCTGAGTTCTAGGATTACAGGCATGTGCATAACTCAGTATTGCCTGGCATAATTCAGCATTCTTGAGGATTCCTCAGTCTGATGTGGGACATTCAAAATCCTCTAGGGAAACCTAGTCTGTTGGAAGAATATAGCATTATCTGGGGACAGGCCATATTATCCTCCAGAGAAATAGAATGCCCTGGAAAGCCCTGATTGTCCTTGAGGTACCTTAGTCTAATGGGAACAATAAACACTATGGTGGGGCCCCAGTTTGACAAGAGAAATGTAATACTTGTAGGACTCTGCATCTCTCCACCTCCCAGAAACTGAAGGTCATCAGTGACTTCCTGAAAACTGAAGACACATCAACCTGTCCCATGCCTTTCAGTGGCTCTCACTGCCTTTTTTAAATACATAGTAGTTCAGGCTGGGCTTGATCTCACTGCGTAGCCCAGGCTGGCCTTAAACTCACAGCTAACCACTCTGTCGAACTTCCTGAGTGCCGGGATTATAGGCACGTGCCACAAATGGCCTCCTTACTGCCATAAGGATAAAATCTAAGCTCATAAGCATGGCATTCAATACCCTTCATCCTGGTCACCTCAACTTGTACCTCATCCTCCCCTTAACCTCTACCCTGTTGAAATGCTGGCAGTCCCCACCCACCCACCTGGACATTTTCTCCCTCCTTCTAGCTAATTCCTCCTCTTTTATTTTTTATTTTATTTTATTTTTTTAATTCCTCCTCTTTTAGGTCTCTGACACCTCTGGGCCTCCTCTCTGCTGCTACTTATCTGGCTACCAATCACCATTAGTTCTGGGCTCTGTCACATCTGGGCCAACCCGAAGGCAGCCCCTGTGCTCAGTGTTGGGCAAATCAGCTATTCCAGAGTCTGAAGCAGGACGATTACAAGTTCAAGTTCCATGTCACCTTGGGCAACTTTACCCATTTATAATGAAGATTGAAAGTTCTTGATTTTTTTTTTTAATTGAACTAAGGACCTTGCGCTTACCAGTCAGGCACTTACATTGCTGAGCTATATTCTCAGCCAAATTTTTGAAAATTTACAAGAAATTCGTATATGTTCAGGGAAGAATATGTATAGGAAGGCTGTCATAGGAAGACCAGTTTCAGTTTCATGCTTTTTCTTCCCAGGCAGAGTCAGGGTGCTTCGCAAGTGGTGAGCTGACTCATTGGGGTTAAGGGGTGCAAGTAAGGATGGCAGCCAGGAAAAGCTTAACAGTCCGGGCCAAACACCCCTGCCCATCCATGCAGGAAAGAGCCTGGGAGAAGATGGGAGGCTCCCTGCCTCCCCAGGGGCCTGCAGGAGATTCCAGCCAAGGTCAACGCTCTTGGCCTGGGTGCATCAGTCAGATGACCTTGTTTAGCAGCCTGGGACGATCAGGTGTCCACAAATGAACACCCTGGGCTCCAGAGCAAGTCCTTGACAGCACAGCTCGAAACAACTCGTCCTCAGCCTCTTTTGGGGACCGACCAGTGGCTGACTGGAATAGAGTGGCAGAAGCTTGGCACAGGCACTCAGCTCAGGCTCAGGGATTGGGCTCAGGGAGCAGATTACCAGGGGCAGACTGGAGCACAAGACCCTTAGGGACCTATCGCTGAGAGGCTTCCGACTGAGTGTAGGCGGGACCCGAGCTGGCTAACGTCAAGCTCCTTAGAAAAAAGTGATTAAACTTCTAGGAGCCAGAGACCGGACAGAGCAAGGTTTAGACTCAGACTTAGGCGAGAGACCGGATCTGGATGGGTGGTGGTTGGACTGCACACGAGGGCGGGGCCAGGGTGGAGCCGGAGTAAAGACCTCGGCGAAAAGATCTGGTCCGGTGGCTGAGGGCCTAGGTCTCTAGGGCGCAGCCTAGGAAGGGACTGGCGCACAGTTCCACCTGGAGCTTGGTGGCAGCTGTGCTTTGGGAAACGGCCTCCCCGACGAAGCGGGCGCTGTGGCCGAGGCATTGTCATTCACCGAGCCGGGCACGATCTCCACAGGGGGGCAACTGGGACACAAGCTGAAATCCTGGTTCACCGCTCAGCCGCCACACCCCTTTCCGTGGCGCAAGGAGGAGGGAAGCCTAGGTCTAGAGGAGTCAATGACCGTCCAGTCCTTGCGCCCCTTCCAAACTCGGCGCTTTCTCATCCCCAACCCGATGACCGCGCCCACCTTTGGTAGAAGTGCTAGGAGTCACCCAATCTCAGGCTCTTGCGGCGGCAGGAAAACGGAAAGGTGGCGATAACAAGCCGGGTGTAGTGGCTGGCGCCTGTAATCCCAGCACTCGGGAGGCTGAGGCAGGAGGATCGTTGCGAGTTCGAGACCAGCCTAGGCTATAAAGTGAGCTCAAGGCCAGCCTGAACTGTACAGCGAGACCCCGTCTCAGAAAGACAAAAAAAAAAAAGGTGGCGATAACAGATTCCAAGGAGGGCAGTGCCTGAGAAAAGAAGTTAGGGACCCTGGGAAAGGTTGGAAATGTTTCACTCGTGCTCACCCCAGCCCCTTCTCTCTATGTGCCCCAGACCACCCTGCTGGTTAGCTGTGTCCTGGGATGACACTAGATATGGAGCCCCTTTGCACAGCGGCTCCTTTTTACTCCGCTCGATTCAGGATTTCGGACCTCGAGTGTGTCCCCAGCATACGTCGATGGAGCGGACAATGTCCAGGGTCGCTTCTCCGCCCTCTATCGTCAACTGCAGCACTCTACGGTCCTAACAGCGCTGCGTGACGGTGCCCAAGGCCCCAGCGACCCTAGGGATGAACAGGTGGGTGGGCACTCAGTGTTTCCCGACGCCCGCCAGGTGGCTTGAGGAGTTCCCCATTGGACTTCGCGCCGAAGGGCGCCAGCTCCAACTGCGCTGGCCCTTCACCTCTCCACGCCGAGTCGCGTGCTTCCCAGCTCCGGGGCGCCCAGCCCCGTCTCGCCGCTTCTCCCGGGAGTCCACACTACAGATGGTGTGGGTGACGCATAGGCTGCCACACAGCGGGGGTGGCTGCCGACCCGGAGGAGCTCGGCTTGGGCCGGTGGATGCAGATCAACTCCGAAAACGCAGTTCTGCTAGCAAGGGTGCTGGGACCCAGCAGGACAGACACTGGTAGCCCCCGGCGGGACAAGTGGGGCTCCGAAAGAGAGGAGAACTGACTGGGCACCTGGCGACGCCCGCAGGACAACTTTAAGGGGCCCCTCAGGAGAAGGGATCGCACCAATTCTCAAGGATTTTCTTATCCTATTGCCAGCATCTCTTAGTGAGGAGTCCTATACAGAGTGCGTTAAAGGAAACAATTTCAACATTTGTCAAATGGGGAGAATAATCTTGCCTAATCCCCTTAAACCTTTGTTCGGTTCTCAAGAGGCACTCGATATTTTTTGGTTTTTTAAGCACTGAGTTCCTGTGACTCAGAACGAAAAAAATAACCATTTCTTCCCCTGTGCCCCAGTGGAGGGGCTGGAAAAGTGTAGGTGTGAAACTGGGAACTGGCCTGTTTCCTCCTATAGATTTGAAACTTGGGTGGGGGAAATCCCGTGGTCCACCTTAAATGCAATCAGCTGTGAAGTTGGCGTCCTTCCTTTCTGCACAGCTGGAACTCCCTCCATAGCCCGAGGGCGCCCTCTAGGGGTCCTGTTCTGACTTGTGGACACAACCAATCTATCTTCTGTCGCGCCACCATTTTTTTTTTTTTTTTTTTTTGGTATTGGGAATTGTTGTACTCGACCTTGGGCTTACCAGGCAGGCGCTGCGCCAATGAGCTATACTTCTGGCCCTAGTTGGTTGTTTCTGAGACAGTATCTTGCTATCCAATTCAAGGTGGCTTTGAACTCACATTGATCTTCCTGTCTCAGTCTCCCAAGTGCTGGGAATATAGATGTGTGCCATGCAACTGGCTTCAACACAAAGAAGGAAACTTCTCTGTCTGAAAGCCTACTAGAATCAGGGAAAGAGTGGGCTAGGAGTCCATCCACAAGTCTGCCTTGCACCATAGGCTGGTAGCCTGTCCTTGAGAGATTTCCGAAGGAACTTAAGGCTCCTTAAAGTACAGCTTGAATGCACTGACCCAGCAGAGGGTCAGAGTTTTAGTGCCTTTTCCCAGGTTCCACTGAACCTGCCCTGGAGCCCAGGTCTCCTGACTTCCCGGGCCAGGCCTCCTGACCCTGTTCCTTTGCTTCAGGCCAGTTCCAGGACTGAGACAGGCAGCTGGTTGGTCTCCTTTCCTCCTGACTCCCTGAACTTGGGTTTTGGGATCAGGGCCAACACCGGTGGGGATGATGCTTTTCTTATCCTGGAACAACTTCCTTTCCAGGAACTGGGAGTCTTTTTCTGAGCAAAGACAATTCATCCAAAAGCAAGAAGAGCAGGGCTCCTCCTGCCCTACCCAGATGGGCATCACGTGGCTCCCAGCTAACAGCCCAGGAAAATTCCAGCCCCTGCACACTTAACTTCACGTACGCATCTGCTCACCCACACTGCCACTTGGCCTCCCTGACCACCTTGCACATTCACACCTGCATACTCCCTGGCACACTCATTTTACTCTCGGCTTCTACCACTTCTCCCTGGGCCATATTGCCAGCCATTTGCTTGTCTCAGTGTAGCAACCCTGCCCTGTCACTCACCTCAAACCTACCATGTCCCTTGGGCAACTGAAATTCCAGGCCGTGGGTGAAGAGGAGGAGGAGAATGAGGAGGAGGAGAGCTTGGATTCCGTGAAGGCATTAACTGCCAAGCTACAGCTGCAGACTCGGCGACCCTCGTACCTGGAGTGGACAGCCAGGGTCCAAAGCCAGGCCTGGCGCAAGGCCCAAGCTGGACCTAGCCCTGGGGGACCTGGGGCCATCTGTGGCTTCAACTCAGTGGACGCTGCACTTGAGTGGCTCCGCCGGGAACTGGTGAGTCTTATGGGGTGGACAGCCTTGCATGGGGACTTTGAGCTTCAGATCATGAGTGTGAGGAGGGGATGAAATGGGAAAAACAAGCTAGCAACTGCTCACACCTGTTCCTCTGGGGGAAGAGTCAGGAATGCACTGTTCAATGTGCTATTGGGAAGCCTTGGTGGAGGATTTCATACAATCTACTGACTTTGTGTTCCTGTGACTCGGGGAACAGAGCCCTGCCCTTGGGGGACCAGAGTAGGAATTTCTATTCTGGGGATTGGTGTACTCCAAAGCTACAGTAAAGCACAAAAGGAGGCACTGATCATGCTGGAGTCAGTCTAGTAGGACAGTGTTGAATATTATCTGTCAACCTGACATGTCCAAATATAAAGATAGCCAGGCTCCAATTTAGAGATTCTCCTTTGTTGATCTGAGATGGGGCCCCAACATATGCATTTGCTCACTGATGGTTCCTTAGCTTGTTTCGAGAACCACCAGTGTAGAGCAAGATCTGAGAGATAGGAGAGGTGAAGGTGGGTGAGAGGGTGCTGGGCAGTGCAAAGGCCCGGAGTGTCAACAGGAAGGAAAGAATGGTCTCTAAGTCTGGGGCCACCCAGCAGGCTCACAGCTCCTCTTGGTTGCAGCAGGAGATGCAGGCTCAGGACCGGCAGCTGGCAGGGCAGCTGCTGAGGCTGCGGGCCCAGCTGCACCGACTGAAGATGGACCAAGCCTGTCACCTGCACCAGGAGCTGCTGGACGAGGCTGAACTGGAGCTGGAGCTGGAACCTGGGGCCGGCCTGGCCCTGACACCTCTGCTGCGGCACCTTGGCCTCACACGCATGAACATCAGTGCCCGGCGCTTCACCCTCTGCTAAGGGCCACCTGTGTGCCTCCTAGGCCATCTGGCAAGAGGGAAGGCAGGGCATCTCAGAGGCACACTCAGGTCTCAAAGGGCTAAACTGAGAGTGTACAAAACCCCAGCTGGCAAGGGGGCAGGGGGAAAGCTCAGGCACCAAAGCTCCTCAATAAACACCTGCTGCAGTCCTGAAGTCTCTGCCTCTTCATTAAGGCCCAAGGTCACTGTCTGTCTGTCCTCTATTGCTGGGACTTGGGTCTCCACCGTAGAAGAGAGGGCCCTGCTAGGGATAAAGATAGGCTGATAGAGCCCCATTTTCTGAAGCTCCAATTCTACCCTCCGTTTTATCAAGGCCAGAAATGGGAAACAGTCAGGCATACTGGTGCACACCTGTAATCCTAGCATTCAGGAGGCTGAGGCAGGAGAACTGCATCTAGTTCGAGGCCCACCTGGACGACATAGTGAGTTCAAGACCAATGTGCACTACACAGCAAGATCCTGCCTCAAAAAAAATGTATGTGTGGGGGGGGAATTTAAAATCGTAGCACACTCTCAACTCCAACAGGAGGTTGTTTAATAAACTGAGTGCCTAAGAATGCAGAATCTGGGAGCCCTGGTTTTAAAGCCAGCCTCCTCCATTTGTTCCCATTAGACATGAGGAGGTCCCTTAATCCTTGAATCTGTCTCCTTGCCTCTGAAATGAAAGGGCTAATTTTCATCCCACAAGTATCTGGGTATGTCTTAAGTGAGAGTACACAGCAGGCACCCAGTACATGCCAGCATGTCTTACAATTCCAGTCACCAGCAGTCTCAGTGCCCTGTACTAAGGCCCACACTCAGACTATGAGGTGCTCAGGCTACCAGGCAAGGGCAGCTGGCTTTGCACCAGGCATTGGCCCAGCTCGACTCTCACTCTGAAGGCTTCTTGCTTTGTGTCTCTCAGCCTTTGTTTCTGTGTTACTCTTTGTCTGACTTTCCAGCTCAGGCTTCCTCTCCCCGCCACCCATTTCCTGTCCCCTTTCCCTCTGCAGCTGAGGTGCTCACAACATCAGCTTCCACCTCACAAACCCCAACAATACTCTGTGGGTTCCCCTCCCCCCGCCTGCTGGCTCAGTGAAGCTCAGGAGGTGACGTCTTTATGCCTTCCTTCCAGCAGGGTCAAGGCCCAGTTCTTGGGCCTGACAGCTCCCTGGAGCTCCTTACAACCCTGGTGACCCGGCCCTCACCAGGAAATAGAGATTCTTGCTCATGGCAAGGTTTTGCCCCCTTCCTGTAACAGAAAGTCCTGACAGCGAGTGGCCTGCCAGTGGTACCTGGACGTTGTGTACCATTTGTCTTCTATGGCAGGAGATGGTTCCAGGCCATGAACTTCCACCAGCCACTGTGGCCTTGCCTTGACCTGCATTTGAAACTGCTGTCCCACTCAGTACCATGAAAAGTGTGTGGTCATCTTGTACTCTGCCCTTTCTTGCCGTGTCCTGAAACACACTGCTGCCAGAGGGCTGTTAGGATACCCTGACTCTTTTTGTGTGGGGTTTTTTCTTTTCTTTTTTTTTTTTTTGGTACTGGGGATCAAACTCACAACCTCATGCTTGCCAGGCTGGCGCTTATGCCGCTGAGCTAAATACCCAGCCCTGAGTGTTTGTTTTTTGCAACAGAGTCTTGCTTTGTAGTTTAGGTTGGCCTTGAACTCATAGAAATCCCCCTGCCTCAGCCTCCCAGGGGCTGGGACTTCAATCTTGTGCCACCATGCCTGGTTACCCTATGATACTAATAAAATTGTTCTATGCCCTGAGATGACATGGACATTGTTGTCAGCTAACTACAACAGCTGTGTTAAGCTCTTGTCTGAATGCAATGCACCTGGTCTTCCTTTCAACTGTTTAGCAGAAATACCATCCTTACCTCTGACTCTGAATGATGTTACTTTTGCCTGAAACCAAAGGGCCACTCAGCTTTCATACTGTGACAGTGGTGCCGCTTGTCTTCTAGTGTAGGCTGGGGGAGTATCTGCTCACCCCTGCTCGCTGAGGTCAAAACCTTTGAATCTCTTGCCTAGGTGGACTCTAGAAAGCAGGAGGGAGGGTCCATGAAATATCTTTCTCTCAACTTTAAAACCCTTTAAAATGCTACTCTTATGGTGAGTAGGATCCAGCCCAGGGACCCCCAGAGCTAAGGGGTGGGGGTCTATGATGGCAGGAAGCTTGGGGTGCTAGAGGCTTGTGGTTGAGCTGCTGGGGCCCGGTTGGCTGCAGAGTCCTCAGGAGGAGGCAGGAAGTCAGGGTGCAACGTGGGCGCGGGGAGACAGGTGGTGGCTACGACAGCGAGGGGAGCTGAGACAGTGTCTGCGCAGCCAAGCCAGGCCAGGAGGACCATGTGAATGGGCCAGAGGGCTCTCGGGCTGGGCAGGTAAGGAATATTGGGAACTGGGCTCTAAGGCTATGATGGGAGTCCGGCAGCGAGGACTACCGCTGGGTACAGGAGACCGGGCTGCCCAGGCAAGCAGCGACATCAGCCTGGGGGGGGACAAAAGTGCTTTGCTGGGGATCAGCGGGACCTCTGCTTTCCTGCACAGCTGCAGCTGCTGCCTCTCCCTCACTGTCTACCACTGGCCTCACCTCACCAGGAGTGTGCCTCTGGGGATCTGGCACATGAATGTTGGAGGTCAGAACTCACCAAGCTCACTCCTCATCCAAGGCTTATGCGGCACATGAGCCCCACAGAGGGCAAAGAACTGCCTATGGCCCCTCAGCAAGGTAGTGGCAGAGCCGTGTCCTGGAAAAGATTCACGCCCTAGCGTGGGACTCCGTCCTCCCACAATGGAGCCGGTGTGGGGTGATGGGCAAATTTGAGATGGGGGACCCTTCTGGTTCCTGGAGCAGATGAGAAAGAGAGAGAGACAGAGACAGAGAGGTCACCCTAGCATCCAGATGGACATGGAGAAGTGACTTCAGCCTCAGTGACCAGCATCACTTAAGGATAGGGTCACCAGAGGCAGGTGCATGGCCATGTGAGGGGAGGGGACATTTCTCACTGGCATGGAGACTTCAGGCCTACATACGACCTGACTCTGGGAAGTCTGAGGTGAAACAGAATGATGGGAGAAGGAAGAGGAAGGGCTATTTTTATTCTGGGCAGGGATGCAGCTGATCATGAGCAAGGAACTCCTGAACTTCCACCTGGAAAGTTGCCATCCCTTCCCGCCAAGTGTCACAGCGGGAAGTCCCCTCTGCTCTTGTCTCCCCATCCCATCGTATCTGCTGCTCCACGGGAAGGTCAGTCAGTCCTGCTGACTTCTACTTTAGACCCAGGGAGGCCTCATCAGCTATTTCGCACTCCCTCACAGGCTGACTCTGAGCCCTCAGCTTTGTGGGACAGTCCCCAGCTCACCCAGGCTTTCCAGGTTTCCCTGGCCTCACTGGAGATTTTTTGCATGTCAGCATGTCCCAGGCTTTCTTGTGATAGGGTCTTGTTGAGTGACTGATTTACTCAGGTTGGGCTTGAATTTGTCATCCTCCCACCTCAACCTCCCAGATGCTGACATGGCAGGCCTGTGCCATCATGCCTGGCACTGCCATTTCTTTGAGTGGCTTCACACTTATTCCTCAAGAGGCAATAATAAATCTCCCTCTTACAGAGCGCCTTTAGGGGAATCTAAGGGAAAATAATGACTGTGATATGCCTGGAACGTAGTAGGCTCTTAAGGGAGGCTACGCACTTCCTCCCCTGCACCGGGAGGACTGCTCTGCTCACCCAGAATCACACCTCAGCCTCGGCTTTGCAAGGGACTGGACTGCCCATTCCCTCATACTTGTGGTGTGGCTTTGCAAATAGGCTTGTTTCCTGTAATATAGTGGGGTGTGAGAATTCTGGCAGGCTAGATTCTGAGATTCTGAGCTGGGTGGTTGGGTCTGCATTAAAAATCAGTCCGTATGCTGGGCACGGTGACACATGCTTTTAATTCCAGCACTTGAGAAGCTGAGGCAGGAAGATCACTGCAAGTTTAAGGTCAGCCTGAATTACATAGCAAGATCCCATCTCAAAAAAAAAAAAAAAAAAAAAAAAAAAGAAGGAAGGAAAGAAAAGAAAAACACAGACACACTGCCATCTGAAACACCACCACACGCATGTGTGGGGGCTCTGCTCAGAGCAGTGGTAGAGACTACACATATAGGGGCTGGGGGTTTAGCTCAGCGGCATAAGCACCTGCCTTGCAAGCAGGCGGTCGTGAGTTCAATCCCCAGTACCGATAAAAATGAAAAAAGACCAAAAAAAAAAAAAAATGTGAGACTACACATATAAACACAGCTGGATCCTACAGTCCATACACATCCCCTCAAACTGATGGATTCAAGGCTACCATCAATTCATTGAAAACAATTCTGAGGCAAAGCGGATGGGGTGGGGCAGACAGGACCAAGATACCATCCGGGAGTGCTGTGGGCTTTTTGTTGCTGCTAAGGATCTAATACACACCTTGTACATGCTAAGGGCCTGCTCGAGTACTGAGTTTCACCACCATGCCAGGGGTGTAGTAGACTTTAATAATGTTAGCACATTTAAAACCAGTGCAGATTTTAAATATCTGGATCTGGGGTTGGGGATTTAGCTCAGCGGCATAAGCGCCTGCCTTGCAAAGCAGGCAGTCATGAGTTCGATCCCTGGTACCGATAAAAAGGAAAAAGACAAAAAAAAAAAAAAAATGGGTCTGGAATTCTACCTGTAATCCCAGCACTCAGGAGGCTGAAAAATAGGAGGATCACTGCAACTTTGACGCTAGCCTGGGCTACACAGTGACATGGTGGGTTCAGAGCCAGCCTGAACTACAAGCAAAATCCTGTCTCAGAGAACAAAAAACAAAAATTAGAAAAACAAACAAACAAACAAAAAGACCTAGAGCTGCGTTTCTAGTGATTTTTGTTTGTCTGTTTATTTTTGGTACCAGGAATTGAACTCAAGATTTTGCATTTGCTGTGTAGGCGCTGTGGCACTGAGCTATAGCCCTGGGCCTTGGAGCTGCATTTCGAATGCTTTCAATGAAGAACATGGATTCTGTGGGGCAGCTGGGAAGTAAAGGGCTCTGAGCCCAATCAGCTTGGGCCTCAGCAGCAACTCCGGCCCTCAGGGGCTTCACAATCAACGTCAGCTTATTAAACTCTGCAAGCGCTTGACTCATTTGGTTTGACCCAGTGT